AGGTAAACGGATATCTCTCCGTCTTCAATATCAAATCCCAATCGTCGAGATAGTGACCTTATCTCTTCAGCACTGGGCCCCTCTATTGTGAATTCTTCTGTAGGGTTTGCGTCCATTGTACGTTATTGATGAACTGGAATCATGAGATTATCATCAGAGGAAAGAGTGCGCGATTCTAAGCACCCTGTCAGCGGACTGTCAAAGGAGTCACGCAAAGTCACCTTGCATGATCATCTCTTGTTCTCCTCTTGATTTTTCTTGGCCAGTTTAAGGTCAGGAGCCTTGTGCTTTATATTAGATTATCTGCCTGTGATTTATCAACAGGCAAAAAAGTGAGATTTGTTCTCATCGCAGTATATAAGTGAACAACGACCTCAATTGAGCATATCAAAAGCTAATCATTCCACACGTGTCCAAACTCTCACGTTTCGAGGAAAAACGAAAGATTATTTCTTAAAAGCGTCACGCCCGGTGTGACGTGGTGTTAAGTTACGTGAGGAACCGTTGAGAATTTGAATGCGTTACAAAGAATATAGTTTGGGAAAAACAGTGATGGCAAAGCAAACCCAAAACGGCGGAAATCGCCAAAAAACACAACGGACACACAACTTATAACAATAACATAATAACTTAATAATAACTTTTATTTCTATAGCGCTTTTATCTTATGTTCAAGGCGCTTTACAACACTGTGCGGGGGACTTTACCAGACAGCCGGTGGCAGTTTACAATCAAAAAAGGTGAATTTTTTAACAGATGCCCCCCTTCCCCCAATTTCCAGTAAACAGGCCAGACCACATCACAGTAATCTCGTGATGTGGGTTCGTTAATGTCCCCTGCTTAATCAAATTATCTAATTAATAGATGCAGGAGACGAAAGTATTCAGTATAGTTTCAGGTAAGATTTTTGCGGACAATCTGATCGATTTCTCTTACATTGTGTGCTGAGGCTTTTCACCTCAAGCAAAGCTTCGTCGCACAGCCCAAACAAACTTGGCGAGCAACTGAGCTTCTTGTATATCTCCGTGTTAAAGTGTATATGACACGAAATTTTTTTTTTCGTTGATAGCTAGTTCCATGTGTATAATAAACGGTTTGAGAGTTTAAAATGAATGAAACAATTTTTTTGGTCGATTTTTAGCGCCCGAAACACGCTAAATTTATGTGTAAAATTGTTCCCGGAGACTGGGCCGAGAATTGGGACTCGTGACGTCAGGTTGTTTGATCCTATGATTGGCAAGGTCAACAACTTTCAGTGTTTTCCTTGTAACACGCTGTGATTACTCGCTCAATTCTATCGTTTCACGCTTCGAAATGTCCAGCGATTCCGAGAGTATTGAGTCGTCTGACTCTATAGAAAGTATGGATTGTGGAATAAGCGACAGTTCTGAAGAGGAATGGGGAGTTATCACTGGTGTGATAGCTCCATATCAAGATGAGCCGCTCGCGGACGAGAACGACGAAGAAACTGGCGTTTCGAGCGAACAAACCGATGTTGATGGACTTACCCCGTCAACTCTGGAGGCTAGATACGAGAGAACTGTAGACGTAGACTCCTGGTTAGTAAAACTGGTCCTTTAAAATTCCTTGTATATATACTTATAGCAAATCTTTGTTAGACAACAATTCATTTTTGCTGTCTTCTTCAGGTGTCGCTGCAAGCAATGTAATACCGGGACGTTAGTTGGTTCCCTGGAGTTTCGATGTTGCAGAGAGGTAACAAATTCATCTGCAAAGATGGTTTTTGATGGTTCCATTGAACGGATAAAATGCATCACACAACACGAGGACTACGATGCGATTACAAACCGCGCAGTTCTTCTCCAAGTGGCTCCCTTGTTGAGAAACCAGGATGGAGGGACTTACCGTCGCCGAGGTGGAATGTCAGAAAACGAGTCAGTACATTTTTAGTAAAAAACAGAAATAAAAACATACAATGTTTAAACTAGCGTAATCACTTGGGTGGGCATAAAGCATTAAGCTTCAGATAAATCAGGGTAAATTAAGGCATCTCAAGCTGTAAAAGTTGACCAAGTTAGATTCGGCATTTACTTGGACTTTTATCTCATGCACTCACCTAACATAAAACAGGAACTAATAAGATTGCTTGCAAAGTAGCTTGTCGGAAAATGTAAGCTTGAGAAATGCTCTGCAGTTCATTATCAATTCGTAAACATAAATATTTTTTTATTTCAATGTGTGTCTCATGGGGAGGTGAAAGGCAGGGTCCTGTAGTAATGTAGGGCATTCTTACACACCTTCCCATATAATTTTCATTGTGCTTTTACTCTAGGTTCATTAGAGCTGTTGCATACCGATGGACCACGAGGTGGCATTGTGGCCACATGGGCTGGGATAACAGAAGACCACTACCAGCCTGTGTTTACCATAATATCAGAACAAAATACCAGTCACAAAATACCAGAGGTTTTGCTGCTGCTCATGACAAAGAGTAGCATGGTACACATCATCAAAACTATGACGTGATTCTTCTACACTAATTTCACATACAGTGTTTTGTGTCTCGGTAAACAACAATTTTCAAATTGATTGTTATGGGTGGTTGTTTCTAGTTCTATTGTTTGGTAATGTATGGACTGTGAACCAGAAACAGCGTAGGTTCTACATGCACACGAGTTTGACTACATTTAAAATTTCACCTTGTTGTAGGTACAATGCAAATATTGTAAGTTGATGAGTACAGTACAATGCAGGCATGGAAAATTTGAAGTAAAAAGGAAAATTGTACTATGCAGAATACCTTCCTGTGAAAAAAGTTTGGTCACTTTATTTTTTGCAAGGGCTTTTGTGACTTCGCAATGGTTTTTGGCATATTGAGCAATTGTAAGGTCGTCTTGAAGTGGGTTGACTGCTGCTTGGGGTATTGTCACTGATAGACATCTGTACTTTAGCCTGCTCTGCTTCTGTAAAATAAATAAATTTATTTAATTATGTTAGTGCATTTTTAGTTTGTTTGTTTGTTTGTTTGTTTGNATCATCATGATCATCTACAAGGTTACTCATTGATTCTTCCATGGCCTCATCCACCTTCTTTTTCTTCGCCTCCAACACATGAAACTCTGCAAAGGCATCACGCCTTAGCTGCAGCAAAAACATAAAATATCCTGGTTGATAAAATATATCGAGCACAAGACACCCTTGCTTTTGCTAAGATTATGTGTAGGATTCGAAACGATCACAAAGCTTGTATAAATCAATACTCAAAACTCCAGTGAACATGTTGATGATTCACTAAGGTATAGGTTTTAGCAGTTCAGTTTGCTTTCAGCACGGCAAAACCGCAATTAGACACGGACATTTTACACATAAATGCTTCCAAAAGAATAGGTTATTTACATCAGAAAAACTTACACATGTTAATGTTTATGATCGGAGATCACGAGAAAACGCTTACCTGTCGCCTTTTGCGATCTGTCAGAACTTCAGGACCTTCTGGTAGAACTGCATGTCTTGTTGGAACAGAGCCCTTGATAAGAACTTTGTTCCGTTTTATCTGCGTCATACCGTCCAGCGAAAATGCCAAGCTGCCCTCGTAACAACTTTGCTCAAAGTGAGCCGAACACAACGAGGCATGTTTGGCAACAGGTTCGCCGAAATCAACTCGGTGCCGCTGCACGAATTTCACCCATTGGGTTCTCACTGTTGGATTTACAGGAAACTGGTGCATCGGTGTGTTGCTGGTATTCGTACAGCTTCTATTGTTGGGCAAAAGTAAACAAAAATGTAAACAAAAGAATTTTAATCCGGCAGCCACTTGTGAAAGTGGTCTAATGAGAGTCAAACAACCTGACGTCACACGTTAAGTTCACGTGACCTTTCGGCCGCGCGTTCGAGGGGACAAATTTTAAGCCAACTTAGCGCGTAGTTTAACGAAAACTATGTGTTTATAATTATTTTCAACGATTTTTAACTCTCGAACCGTTTGTTTTATATATCGAACTAGCAGAAAAGAAAAAAAAAATTTCATGTCATATACACTTTAATCGTAAATCTTGTTGATTTGATCTTTGGACTGTCATGGTTAAAAACATTTTCGTGCGAGTAAATTCCTTCTTTGTCACGTCATTGTTGAATTCAGAGTGAAGAAGATCTCCTCAAACGCCTTCGTGTTCAAGGTATTTCTGTGCGTGAAATGAAAATACGTGACAAGGAGTTTTTGACCTTTCGTGACCCTTTGTAGTTTCGTGGTCACCTTCGATTGCTAAATGGATTTAATGCGAAAGGTATGACGTTGAAGTTTTTAATTCTCTGTCGATTGCAGACATATTCAAGAGAAGTAATTTTTTAAGAATATTTTCCTGTTATTAGTAATAAACTTCAAATAGCAAGCAAATGTTCTACAGATTTACTTGATCTGCCGCCAGGAAACATATCACTTTCCACATCCATCAAGTAAGTGTACGCTTTTGCAAAAAGCTGTTATTTTGGTAATGAGAGCCGATTAGCGGTATGGCCAGTGACGACCCACAAATATTTACCGATTACCCCGTGTGGTAAATAATAAAACCATTAAGGGCATAAGCCGTCAGCATAAAGTCGGAAGCGGAACACGTATTACAGAGATGCCAAGTACGATGGCCGCCTTCGACATCTTGTTGGCTCTGTATTTTCTAGCGATAACATCCTCTTACGACGTACACAACTCATTCAATTCACGCAATCAAACGCATCATCCCTTGGGAGAAAGATTTCCTTGGCATGTGTTCGTGAGTTCTGTAAAATGTAGCGGAGTTTTAGTTCAGGAGCGATGGATTTTATCATCAGCTTTGTGTACTAGACTGGTGAAAGAGAAATTGAACCTAAAGCGCAATGACGATAGCGATCATTCGACGGTGTTCATCAGAGTTGGAAATCATCATGTCGATCTCCAAGCATCAGGCGAAGACACAGCGCCGGTGCTGAGAGCGCTTGTATATCCTAAGTATAACGCTTCAGCTTCGACAGGTAACGTCGGTCTGCTGTACCTTGCACGCAAAGTTATGCTGCCCGATGATCATCCTGTATCTCACGCGAAACTACCAGATTTTGAGACTAACAAGGTCTCGAACCGTCTACTCGGAAAGATTACGGGATGGGGTTACTTATCTGGGCGAAGCTCCCAGTATAAAACGCTCCTCCAAAGTGACGTTTTATTAACTGCTGGCCGAGATTGTCAACGGAGTTTCAGGGACAGGAGCATGGGAAAATTGTTAGATGAATCGTGGTGTGCCGTAGCTGGAAAGAAAGGAATTTGTTCAACTGACCAAGGAAGTCCAGTTGTCGTCAAACAGGACGGTCATTGGTTTGTAGTCGGTGTTTACACATACGGACAGACTTGTTCTTCCGCTACCAGAGACGTCGCGTTATTTTCAAGAATTGACCCTGATGTGCTTCAATGGATTCAAAAACTCTTCACAGCTGGAGGTGGGAGGAAGATGATTTTTATTACTATTATTACGATTATTAAAAGCTGAACAATACATAATATATCATTAAGGTTACTTTATTTCCCCAGGGAGCGGGGGAGGGAGCACTTCCTAATAATAGGCCAATGGGGGTGTGCCTGAATGGGATCGCATTTCCCAACTGGATTGACTTTAATGGGGTTACATTTTCAGTTGAGGTACCAGGAAGGGGTCGCACAATTTCGGGAATTGCGAGGTAAAAAAATTCTGTCAAGTAGGGATTTAGAAATGGGAAGATTTCCGGCTTGAAAGTTGTTACCGTGTTTAAAGTCGTGTTTTGTTTTAAATGGCATTATAAGGTTAAGTTGGGATTGCGAAAATTACATTTGCCCAAAAGTAATTAAGATGGGGTCTATAAGTGGCCATAGAATAGTTTAGTCTAGGTTTCGAGAGGCCAACAGCACATACCAAGCAAAAACAAAAGGTGACCGAGATATCAGTTCATCCGCTTTAGACACGCACTCGCTCCTCAGCGACGTCATTTCTGCATCACAGAAACTTGTCGTCATTATTTTTTACCGCAGACAGACCACAATGTCACCCATCAGGTCACAAAATTCTTGACATTCCTACGCGTGCGCAGTCCAATCAAGTGGACTCTGTCCTTCCCCTGTGTGATAACAAGTTACAGGAGGCCTGGTACAAGTTGGAGCTTGATGGGATTCCCGCCGAAATTCCTACGAGCTGCCCTGAAATTGGTTCGTGTGGTACTCATGCTCAGATATGGTTGCCACCCGCGGGACATCCCGAGTTTGGAGAGGAAAGGAATGGTAGCGCATGTGTAGCGTGGAAGGGGGTGGACAGGTTTTGTTGCTTGTGGCGGTTACCTGTTCACGTGATTCATTGTGGTGGCTTCGTTGTTTATCGTTTACAGAGTACGGACGATTGTTCGGCTTACTGCGCTAAATCAGGTGATTAAAATTTGAACTGTGTCAGGCAAGCAATTCCACCCTTATAGATGTGTTATTCAATGTTTCTTTTTCAAACTTAACTCAAGGAAGTATCTCGGGTTGCTAAACTATCTCGTATTTTGTCAACCTCCCGAATGTTACCTAAGACGAGGCAATGTAAACACAAAAATTCATCTTTGCTTACATTAAATATTCCGAAAAAACATCCGTGAGACCAAAAAAGTTCACTTCTGTGTTTACATACTCTCGTCTAAACGTATCTACCGACCAAACAGGGTGCATCTACTGCCTTAAAGATATAGATTCCCTAAAAAAGTAAAAATCAGTGCAGCTCCGCTGTGCACTCACCCAGCGACAACACCGCACGTTGTCCAGGGTTTCATTTTAGCTTAAGCGAGCGAAAAGCCAAAAATATGCTTAAGAAAGGACTTGTGTTTTTTTTTTTTTTTTCCAGCCGGCAAAGTTCCTTGTGGACCCGGTAAAATAGGATATGCACCAAAATGTAGAGGTAAGAAATTCGTCAGCTGTGGGTTAGACGAGAAAATACATTAATGTAGAGCGCAACAAGAAAAAGTTATGTGATATCTCGACAATGTAGGAACTTTAAGAAGTTAAGCAGTTCTATTTTACAACACGGAATATAAAGTTATCTTCATTAAATACTTATCAATAAAGATTTGGAAATGCAAAGACAAGCAAAAACCAACAATAAAAACCGACGTTTCGGTGTCTTCATGACGCCATTGTCAAGGAGAAATAAAAATTACAAAGTTTGCGGCAAGGTGTAACACTAAATTAGCATAAATATGTTAGGAGCTAATTATACAAATACTTTTGCGCGAATGGAATCGCTTTGCACGTTCAGAGTGGGTTTTAGGTCTCTGATGAAAAGCATTTCGTTCACCAATCAATCGAACTTGTGAAGGTGTAAGGTGCTAAAACGTTTCAGTAGGTCTTTCGGGACTTCGCTGTGCCGTTCGTGGTAGTGTTTATATATTGAAGATGCCTTTCGTTTATGTCCATCCACGCGTGTGTGTAAGTGTATAATTAACTCCTAACATATTTGTAAAATAGAACTGTTTGGCTTCTTAAACTTCCTACATTGTCGTGATATCACATAACTTTTTCTTGCTTGTCTATGCATGAAATACTATCATCTTAAATATCTCTTCACAGTTCGTGAACAATATCCCATCCTAGATGGCCCCCCACAGATAACACCAGTAATCCCCCCGGATAAAATCCTGGCAAGTGAATCAATCCATCTTCTGTGTACGTACGATATCTTGGCTCCAGGACCCTATAAAGTTGGGTACAAAGTCACGTGGTATAAACTCATGAGCTTCTTGGGTGGGAAGCCTGGGAAACTGGTACTGCTGACCAACAGGACTGAAGAGACCGCGGTGGTGATGAGCACCAAGTCAGCTGAGTTTTACCTCGGTGACAGAGTTAGTGCTGCTCTGTGTTAATTTTAAGATGAATTTGTGGTTATGAGCAGTTGTGTTAATTTATAGTTATGAGTATTGTTTGTTTATCCTCAGATCATTTGTGAAGTGATGGCATTTTTCTTAGAGAGTCCAGAACGAACAAGTCCTACTTTCTCCAGCGACAATTTCTTCGTTGGAATTAAGGCAAGTCTAACTCTTCTCCCATATTTGGCTTAGACTTACGGTGGTAAATTGGGCTTGTGAGCCTTCTGGAAAGCTTTGTAGGCCCTCTCGACCAGTTTCAGTAAAAAGTCATAATCAAAGAGAATGTGACATATTTTCAGGGCATTCGGCTGGACGTAGAAAAATGGACCTTTTAACGATGTAAAACATATATCAACTCTCCTTTGCTTTACTTTCCTACAATAAGTTGAGCAGATACCAAAATTTCTATTTCTCGTTTTGCTTGTCATTTTTATAATATTCTTTAAACAGAGGGGTAACCTTGCGATGGACTAGCATCCCATCCAGGGGGGAGTAGTGACACTCTTAGCTGCTTCATGCCAAAGAAACCCGGATAAGCTCCGGATGGTGGGCGACTTGGCTCGAGTATAGATTATGGCACTGCCATTTCAGCGTCCTCTCTACTTAGTACCCGCCAGTAACCAAATGATGTCATCATTTCTGACAGGTTGAACCTCCGTTCATTGTCACCTCAGAGGATCATAAAATCAGGGAATTCACTTTGAGACTTACCGTGCCCCTTATCTGTCAGCCGGACCACCCCAACTGCACGATACGGATATCAATGCACTTGGTACCAGTAGGTATGAAGTATACAACTGTGATAGTTTGCAGTAAATGGCACCCTACGAACGACTTCTTTACGACATGTACACCACAAACGAACCGATCCCAACGACCTAACATTACCGACGGGTCGAAACTGACCAATCACGACCAATCAATTCACACGAACTGGATTTCATACACTCGACTATTAACAACTCTTCACTTGACTCTGATGATAACTTCTGCTAAAGTTTCTGAGGACAACAGCCCTGCCCATGCGCACACATTTGACGATGTATTCCGCGCGTGAACGAAACACCGATATTGAAGTGTAGCTAACTGGTCTGTCCGCTTTGTTGTCTCTACTCAGTAGACAATCTACAGATGTCATCAACGTCAGATATAGCCCTATCCACCTGTGAAGTAATACTGAAACCGCAACCCTGCTCTCGCCGTGACTGTGGGCGCAAGGTTGTTAGATTTGTTGCTGTCTCAGACTACATCGATGACGGAGACCGCAGGACACGTATTGTAACTGAGCCTACCAGGAGCCAGTCGCTACTTTGGAATTCTTACGATCCAGCTGACGTTTTCGTAAGTATTACTCTTTCGAAGCAAATGCTACACATATATATACAAATTTTGTTTGTTTATTTAATAGAAAGCTTATCTTAGTGCTCACGATCTTATGTCATTCAGATTTCGTCCTGGTATTTCATTTTTACAGGTTCTCTCTAAAGATGTGAAAACCCCTCGATGTTACCTCTTTACGGAGTCTTACATGAAGACGCTAACCGGCAGGTCAGAGTTTATCGATGAAGGTGGTTTTCGCAAGAGTAACTCACTTCTGAAGTACAGAGCGGGTTGGAACCTTTTTTTCCGCTTCGTTTCTGATCTAGGTTTCATTCATCCACTTTGTTAGATAGGCAGACTATAAACTGATAAACGGATTAATAATGAATACATTATAGGCAAAGTAAACAGTATCAACACCTCTGAATAGCTTTGTACCTCACTCTCATACGAAGGCCTTTTCGACTTATGAGTATTTTCTACTTGCTAACTCTAACAGGTATTACCGGATTTCAACAGGAGCAACAACACTCCTGTTGTATAAAAGTGCAGCCAGGCTGTTTGAGGTTTGCAATAGTTGTTGTTGTAGTAGAATAGTTTGGTGAATTTTTATTTAGTAGGTCCTGAGCGCAAGTATCATTCATTGTTTGTTCAACCCATTACAGGTTCACACGCGATTGTGGGCTTGTAGCAGGTCTTCAAACCGGGGATTTTGCGCATGCGGAGTCGCTGTAAGAGATGGAGATGACGTAATCGAGATCAATATGTGTCGTGGAAGATTTGCAGAGACCAGTGTCCAAATATCTGTTAGGTCCAGGCCTCCTCTTGCAAAAGGAGTACGGATAACAGAGGCTCTAGCAGGAAAACGGTACACGGTGGGTGAATAAACACCAACAATTGAGTTATAAAAAGTCGTGACGCGACGAATATGATATTTTCCTTTTCCTAGCTGGGTCTCCTTTGTGAGAGACTCGGGGTCCTAATGATTAGTGGCTGGACACCGGGTCGAGAGAGGTCTGGGTGCAAGACCTAGCCGGGTCAATAAGGTGTGTTCTTAGGCGAAACACTTTACTGTCACAGTGTCTCCTCGCGCCCAATAATGGACAACCTCGTTCCCAGGGCCTTTAAGCCTCATGTAATGCCAGGGTGAGGAGGGTAACCTTGCAATGAACTGACATCCCATTCAGGGGAGAGTAGAAATGTTTCTAGTCNGGGGGGGGGGGGGGCGGAAAAGTAGTAATACTCCTTGTTTTTCCATGTTATGGAAACTACGATAAGCTCCGGCTGGTTGGTGGCTCGAGTACAGACTTGGGAAACCAATTAGGTTTTCGTTTCTTGAAGAAAATTCGACTTGCTGAGACACATCTTTGCGTGACCAGTAACTTTGATCTATTACTTCCTTTGTAGGTGTATTTTCCTTCAGGAGTTTATGTTCGAGTGGATGTGTTTAATTGGGGATTGAATGTACAAATACAATCGTCTGGACGAGACCTGAATCAAGTGACAGGTTTATGTAGCCTCGGTGAGGTCAGCAGTTCTTCTCAAACACCAAATGAAGGTTTACCACTTGAGATGAATGAAACACAACAGTGGAGGTAAAACCGCCCCCGCACCCCCCCCCCTTCCACACCACCTCCCACCACTCGAAATCTTGATCACTTACTTTCATTTCCTGATTGAAGTTCAGTTGAACTAACTCCAACCCTCTAACTCATTTCATTACCAGATCTCATTAATAATTCTCCTTACTGTCTGCCATACAAATCCTATGTTGTCAGTAAGTTAGAGAATTTGGTAGTGGGTCAAGTAATCATCGCCGAATTGAATTTTTCTTTATTCTCATTACTAGTCTACTTGATATTGTATTGCTTTTGTTAGGAGAAATTCTCTCTCGGTCATCCATGGGAGTTAAAGGGTTAACCCTTGAGAAAAACCAACCCATCATTACAACAGTGGTAATTTTTTTTGACAGGATTCTTGACGCCCATAGTTTATTTAATCATAAACCGGTACATTATCGACAACACCGGACGGAAAAGCCCTTCTGTTTGTGTACCTTAAACAGCAATATTGAAAAGAAAAGGAAGTGTGCTTCCTGTGAGTTAAAGTGTAGAAGACACCAGCATGTGATATGGCCAGCATTATTCCGTGAAAGAGATATCACCAGAAGAGTTCACGCGCTACAAATCGGCCGTGATCTTGAGCGTAGAAGTAACCGGTCAGATGGCTATCCCCCTCTCTTATACCATCCCACAAACCAATCAAACCTATCAGAGGAAGGAAGACCTGACACATTTTTAGCTGTCTTGGCTATCGTTAGTTACTGCAAGAGGCTGTTGACTGACACCCCGCTAGGAAAAGCTTGCATTCATTTAGTTGGTCAGCGTACTGTCGATCAACTTAAGAGAATTTGCATAAGAGACACGAGGGTACTGCAATTGCTTCTTCTTTGTTGTTACTTCTAGTAACCGTGTCCGTTTTTGCATGTTGATGTGTTTGTATGAACTGGTATCTGCGTGTGCTTTCCTTCATATTTTCCTGCCCCTTCTCATTCTCTTTATTCTTTATCTTATTGACGCTTTTGACGCTTCTAATCCAATTACACCGATGTGGTTTTAGTTCACCGGTGTGTTAGGCATGGCCTGGGGAGTAGCTTCAATATTACAAGACACGTGTGAAGACACATTTCTGAAAAATACCTCCCTGTGGGAGAAGTCTATCTCAACTGAAGGGCTGACACCAACGAGGATAAAAAACGTTATGTGCCCACGACTGTGTAGTGAACGAGGAAGGTGTATCAATGGAGCCTGTAAATGTCGGCGAGGTATGCCAGAGTTTTAAGAATGTGTCGATGTTTTCACGTTAATTGAGTAACACTATCTCAAGAGCTTACTCAGTGACAGCAGGAGCACATACATTCATACATAGGTTAATTGACCACTCCCCATAGGGGCTTTTCAGGGCCAACACCCACCCATCCAACCGAGGGGACGACATCCATCACACAGTGCGTGGAAAATTGACGTTTCCTACCCCTAACCCTGCAGGAGACGGGGCCTAAGGTTTATTCGTCCTTATCCGAGAAGACTAGTATATCTATCCATTTCTTGATTATAGAAAGGTAGCAAATTCCCCTCACTTATTTTAAGACCACGAGTATTGGTCCAGCCGGGGCTCGAACCTTCGAACTCCCGCACAACACAATCCGGCGCTCTAACCAATTGAGCTAATCGGGAGGCGGTAGTGGGAACTGTCCCCTCAGAGGGCGGTGGAGATGGATCAAACATTTTCTGAGGAAGGAACAGCATGACGCGTATAGCGCTCACTGGACAATTGAAGAGAGGACCTTCGTAGATGCCCTATTATGTCATCTGGCATAACGGGCAGTAACCACTACCTACGTTAATTAAGCGTCAAATCGAACGCGAGAGATCAATATTCTTATCTATTGTTAGGGTTATGTTATCCACGAAGTTTTCTTTTATCAGGTTACACAAGCGATGATTGTTCTGTTCCTTCCCGAAGTCCACCACAACTCATCGGTGTACACAATGATGGAACATGTGATATGAAAGCTTTTCACTGCAAGCAAGTCAGGCTGGTTGGAGAGGGTTTTCACAACTCAAGAGAACTGAAGTGTTCCTTCGCAGAAGTCAAGGTAAACATATTCTTCTAACATCTCATAATCATTCCAGCCTTATTCGAAGTAAGCATTGATTTAGGACCGGTTATAAATGTATCATCATCAACTAGATTATCGGTGAGAAGCTATTTTCAGATACTGCACCGAAAGCAGCATCTGTAGCTAAGAAAAGTGATATAACCCCTCTCTCTTTTCTTATTTCCTCTTGTGCTGTCAAGGATACCACATTTGAAACTCAGACTTTCTTGTCCAAGGCCACATATGAAAGTTTTCGTGGTCTCACTTGCGAAACACCAGGGTCACATGACACAGAGAAGGCATTTATAAGTTACCAAGTACGTGTCAGTAATGATGGCAGTTTATGGAGCCAGCCTATTCCTCTTTTTATCTTTGATGGGGGTTGTCTTACATGTACCACTCGGAGAATGGGCTGTGAAATTAAGGTTGGTAAGTAGAAACAACATTTTGTCTCTTAAAAGTGAGTTTCCACATCTGCGGCGACTGTAGCAAAATCAGGTCTTGGTCGCTGTTTAAACGAATAGGACCTCTAGTTGAGTATCACTTAATAGCCGCAGTCAATAACTAGAGATACTATAAATTTTAAATACTTTTGTACGTCACGAACCTTTTTACAAAAGTCAAGTGAGAACTAGCAATAAAAGTACCTAACACAGACACAACTGTTGTTTGAAAGAAGCTGCGAGAGTAACGTCAATTGTTTCTTGATTTTATGTTTAGAGTGAAACATGCCATATTGATGGACGTTGTTATAGAAAAAGCGAATCCAGTCCTCAAGATCCCTGCAAGTGGTGTTCACCGACAAATAGTCAGCAGGCGTGGACCGACATACCATGTCAACATGGGAGTTGCAATGCCTCTTATTGTGTGCATGGTGTCTGCTTAGATACAACAATGGGAAGATATTTCTGTTTCTGTAATGAAGGATTTACTGGTGTAAATTGTGATATTGCTGAAGATCCTTGCATTTTTAACCCCTGTGGCGGTGGAGTCTGTGTTCGACTTGGAAGGACGTTTCGATGTCAATGTCCTCCGGGATACACTGATATTCAGTGCTCCGTGCCAGTCAACCCTTGTTCTTCAAATCCCTGTAATAACGGAAGTTGCGTCACTAATGGTTCACACTTTCGTTGCTTCTGCGAAGAAGGTTTTACCGGACTTTTTTGTGAAACAGGTGTTCAGAGTTGCCCGTGCAAACATGGAAAATGCGTTACTCGAAGAGGGAACTCTGTTTGCATGTGCGAAGAAGGATTCGCGGGAATATTATGCGAGGTGGAACTGTTTGGAGAGTGTGGCTTGGCGTCCTGTAAAAATGGTACTTGTGTTGAAGTAGATGGGCTAACCAAATGTGTATGCACTTCGGGATACACTGGCTCTCTCTGTGATATTAAGATCGGTTCTTGTCCGGATGCACCCTCTCTGCAAGGAGATTATAATTCCAGTTTATGTTTGAACAATTCGTGTTTGGGCGAAAACTACAATCTCACTTCTCTCTGCGAGGTCGGATTTACAGGGACGGTTGTTCGTAGAACAATTTACATGACACAAGGAATACGAACGCGAGGAAATACGAATCTCAATGTCACTATCTCTTTTTACCATAAATATTTCCATGGGTCTTCTATGTACAACGTCAACGTGTCATTTAACAGTTCTGACGAAGTTGCGAGTGACAAACGCATATCTAATCTTGATGAGATCACATATGTGTGTGAGGGAAATCATACGGGCTTCGGAAGGATTATTTCTTGTGAAAACAAGAACTGCATGATCAATGAAAGCTTATTGCTTTGTGTATTAGAATCTATTAACAGATCACGTGATTGTCGTCCCTCTGTCTTCGAGAAAGATTGCTTATGGTTAGGTTCAATTTGCGAATGTTATTCTCAGGCTGAGGAAGATGAGAACAACTCTTACAACGCATGCAAAGGGGGGACTTTTAGCTGTAGTATCTTTAATAAGACCACTGGATTACCGTGTGATGATGTAACTAACATTGCACTTAGTAAAGGATTTGTTACAGAATGCTCTGAGGGACAAAACTGTAGCCAGGCGGTTGATTTATGTTACCTTAATCCCTGTGTAAATGGGAATTGCACTTCTTCCATCGATGGGATACATTGCTTGTGTAAAACTGGTTTCACTGGTGATAAATGTGATAAACGGGACTTCTGCCAGCCCGATCCCTGCTTTAAGGGTAAATGTCACAACACAGCGAGCGGTTTCCAATGTGAATGCTCTAAAGGATATACTGGATTAACTTGCACTCATTTGAAAACTCGGTGTAAAATAAACCTCTGCAAGCATGGGGATTGCTACATAGAAACGAACGGAAAGCTATCGTGTGGATGTTACCATGGTTACCAGGGACCACGATGTGAAAATGTCGTCGACCACTGTAAGCGTGATACTTGTAAGAACGGGCTTTGCATCAACACCAGAATAGGATTTCAATGTCTTTGCCGCAGGGGATTTTCGGGAAAACGTTGCCACATTAATGACCCATGTGTTCCAAGTCTATGCGTGAACGGGAATTGCTCAACGAAATCAGATGGGTATCACTGTGTGTGTCACCAAGGGTACAGAGGAAGACACTGCAATGAGACCGCAGACCACTGCCTGAGTAATCCTTGCGCTCGTGGACAGTGTGTTGATGCTCAGGGCACATATTTGTGCAAGTGTCCACCAGGTTTCACTGGCGACACCTGCAACGCCACTGTTGATGTATGCCAGCCTAATCCTTGTCTTAATGGAAATTGTATCAACGTGAAAGTTTCTTTTAAATGCGACTGTTACTATGGCTTTGTAGGAACTTTCTGTGATAAACAGATCGTCTTTGACCCATGTGAAAGGAATCCCTGTTATAATGGTAAATGTGTCGGCGTCCAAACGCTGAAAAGGAGTGTTCCCTCATTTAATTGCTCGTGTCATGAAGGTTTTACTGGACAGTACTGTGAATCAGTTATCGGCCCGTGCAATACCAATCCTTGCAGGTACGGATTATGCAAAGCAACAAATGAAAGCGGCTTTCTTTGTGCATGCTTCGATGGATATCAAGGTGTTCTCTGTGATACGAAGATCAATCACTGCCTGACCGGGCCATGTGTGAATGGTTCGTGTATTTCCACCAATGCGTCTTTTGAGTGTTTGTGTCACCGGGGTTACGCAGGAAAGTTATGTGATCAAGCAATGGACATGTGTCGGCCAAATCCGTGTAAACATGGAAGTTGTCACCAAAAGGGGACATCATTCAGGTGTTCTTGTTTCGAAGGATATACTGGAGGCGTTTGTCAAAATAAGATTACTAACTGTAGTTTGAATCCATGTAAGCACGGAAGTTGTGTCGATAGAGGGCAAACGTTTCAATGTTATTGTAAACGACGCTATTCTGGAAAATTCTGTCACCTAAAAGTGAACCCATGTGAACCAAACCCATGTAAACACGGCTCGTGTTTGCATAGATACTCTTCATGGTTTTTGTGTCGGTGCGAACTGGGCTACACAGGTAAAAAGTGCGATAAGAAAATCAACATGTGCCAGTCACAGCCATGCAAACATGGGGAATGCGTCAACATGGGAATGTCTTTTCGGTGCAATTGCTATCCTGGTTATCGTGGACGTCTCTGCGATAAAATCGAAACCTGCCAATCTCGACCTTGTGAACGTGGTAATTGTTTTCCTTCAGGAAATTCGTTCACTTGCGCATGCCCAGAGAACTACACAGGTCGTTATTGCGAGAATATGATTGATCCGTGTCAATTAAGCCCTTGTAAACACGGCCGCTGTTCACTTCTGAACCAATCCATCAAATGCACCTGCAGCAAGGGATACACTGGTGATCATTGCCAAGTGACGGTGAACCCTTGTTTCGATCACAACTGTAAGCATGGGAGGTGTATAGCACATGGTGTTCAATTTTCATGTCAATGCCTACTGGGATTTCGTGGGAAATACTGCGAGACAGATATCGACGAATGCTTAGAAGCACCCTGTTTTGCTGGTGTCCAATGCACAAATTATCCAGGGAACTACAGTTGTGGTTCATGCCCTGCTGGTTTCATTGGTGATGGTTTACGTTGTGAGGAGATAGCTCACCCCTGCAAAAAGTTAAACTGCTTTAGAGATGTACCATGCGTCCAAAGAGGTCAAAGTTACCAATGTGGAAATTGCCCGCGTGGATTTACTGGAAATGGCGTTCTTTGTACCGGTATGTTTGTTACTCAACTGTTAAGATTCTGATTTAAAATAAAGAATACGGTCAGGCACTTGGGGTTTTGTCAGGAAAAACTTTACCTCAAAAAACCAATGTAAACACCGTGCTCTTGTAAGTGCTTTTACAGTTTTCATTTATTTTAACACGTTTTACAAAGATGTTTTGTAAATGGACAAAAGTGAGATACCCAGCTCAGTTTTGAAGGAAGTTAGTGATACACTGGCATATTACTTTCTCTGTCAGAGATAGATGCCTGCTCATCTAACCCATGCCATCACTTGACTCAGTGCATTAAAGAGAAGAGCTCCCCTGAGGGGTTTCGTTGTGGTCCTTGTCCTAAAGGGTACAAGGGAAACGGATTCACGTGCACTTCTTTGTGCCCTGTTCCCTGCCCTTATGGAATGGAGTGCAATGGTAATGATTGCAGGTAAGGTAATGTAGTTATGAGCTGATGAAATTGTGCCACAACTTGCTGAAAGGACTTTGACCGTTTACCATTTATTTCCTAACATCAGTCTGCATATTTTCCACACTGTTCCTTATGCATAACCTACGGCGCTGACAAGAAGAATTTGTCGAAGAAACAGAAGGTTTTTTTAGCTGGTGATCATATACTTTATTCTCGTAACCAGTAATGTGTGATTCAAGGGTTTTTTTGTGGGGAGAAAATAGATGCTAGTCACTCATTGGGGTCGAAGGGTTAATTAATTTAATAACTTGTTCCAAGACGGACGAAATATGGAAAATCGTTCCATAAGGAAACTTTTCCTTGGTTCAAAAATTTTTTTTAGCCATTAAGTATCGCCAAATATAATTCTGCTGTGTCACCGTGGTGATCGTAAACTCAGTTAAAGTGAACCAGTGGTGTACTCCTAATCGCCAAATGTCAATCATTTCTTTTTTCCAGGTGTCCGACAGGTTACCAAGGCGTTGGCTGCCAAACGCCATTTTGTCGAGCTGGTTGTTTTAATGGCGGTACCTGCATTATGCCCAACTTATGCGTTTGTGCAAAGGGTTTTGAGGGACCCGCTTGCTTGTCGCCCGTATGTCGGCCTCCTTGCAGGTATGGCGGAAATTGCATCGGCCCGGGAAAGTGCCGCTGTCCACATGGGTTTACGGGCCCGCGATGCGAGAAGAAAAGCTGCCTGGTAACTTGTTTGAACGGTGGAAGGTGTCGTGGACCCTATATTTGCCAGTGCATGCTGGGATACTCGGGACAAAGATGTGAAATTGGTAAAATTGTTTTTTCTCTGAACAAAAAGTTGCGGATAAGTTGTCTATTGATGTTGAGGTGAACCCTTTAGATCCCTAACATCAGAACACATATTCTCCATACTGTATTTTATACATTTTCTAAGGTGCTGACAAGGACACTTTGAGCTTCTATAGTTGATGATGAGTTCTCTTTTTCTCATGACCTGTAAGTGTGATTCAGGGGTGATCTTTAAAATCGGTCGTGGGGCAAGATGGCGGCCGATTTTCCGTATTTTGCCTGGGCACAGAAAATTAAAGATTTGAGCAAATAAAAAAATTGTTGCACAGGAATACTCCAAAAAATAAGCTTATTTCATTAAACAACAACAAACATATGAAACATATGTATGAAATGCAGTTATGAAACGTATATGTGCACGATCCTTCGCAGTAAAGCACTATTTGAGCAATAGTGAAAATCAGACCTGAAAAAAAAAAAAAAAAAAAAAAATTTTTTTTCA